TGAAGTTACTTCCCATTTCTTTATGAATGGAAGTCATTGTTTAGTTCTAAGACAGAATCTTTATTTCTTTATGAATGGAAGTCGTTGCATGAATGGAAGTCGTTGTTTAGTTCTAAGACAGAATCTTTATTTCTTTATGAATGGAAGTCGTTGCTTAGTTCTAAGACAGAATGGGTTATGATTGATTCTGAGTTCGAAACTGGTACTACTATATAAAAAATAACAATAAAGACTTTTGTTGCATGCCCCCAATCCGAGTTCGAGCTATTAGTAGTGAAAGTAGCAATGTCAGCCGTAATAGCAGCTCCCGTCTAACGTGACCTTGAGGTTAGACCAAGGTAACTTCTGTAATTAAGGAGCAAGAAAAAAAGCAAATTAACATACATACCACCCAATTCCTATGTATTTACTATTTACATATCTAACACTTAAGCTTTGTTTTTTTTTTTCACATTTCTACCAACCAAAATATTCAAATCATATAAAAAATATCATCATTTTAATTTTTAAAAAACCAAATACACCTTTTCATGCATTGGCATGGTCGTATGCATGAAAAATTTAAGTTATATGCCAAATATGTAAATACATAAGAATTGTGAATGGATGTGAATCATCCTCTAACTTTCAAAAAATGAAATGCACTTTTTTTTTCATGCATAATTTAAGTAGCTGATACGTAAAAATTTAAGTTTAGGTGCATATGTAAATTCTTATGAACTCAGTGGCATGCATGTAAATCTTCCTAAAATTAATTGTGGAAAATCGGTAGAAAATTTATCGCGTTGTCGTTATGACTTGCAGTTTGCCCATCATGTGTGGCTCGTTTGAGGCCGACTTAAATGCAAAATCAGATATTTTTATTTCAACTTGATTAAAGTCCGATTCATTTCTAAAATGATTTATATTGTGTGATTATAAAAAATTCTGTTAATTTTATAAAATATTTTAAGTTTCAAATGAAGATTATATCGATAATATTTGTGGTACATAGGGTGCTGAATTAATTTTGATGGCCATCTTGTAATGCTGTCAGGGTGTAAGGTCTGTCTGTCTATTGGAAGGAAGTGCTGTCAAGTTGCTCGGGTGCTCTTGAGCTGTCTGTCAGGCATGCAAGTAGGGTGTAAGGTCTGTCTGTCTATTGGAAGGAAGTGCTGTCAAGTTGCTCGGGTGCTCTTGAGCTGTCTGTCAGGCATGCAAGTACTGGCTAGTGTGTTCGTGGTCTCATGGGCATGTGGCCATCTTGTAATGCTGAAAAAGTAAAGTGCAAAATCATCCGATTATTATTTTCATCAAATATCTCCAAGCTATCCATACATTTTAGTATTTTCCAACAGAAGTTTTTGTCAGTCGTAATTTTATTATGAAAATATCTTGCCAAATTAATACAGTTTGGAGTGAACAAAATATTGTTATGTCGTTCATAATTTAACATGAAAACAACGTTCAAACAAATCCATTTTTTTTTTTTAACAATAAACATTTTTAAGAAAATTTTTGGATCATTAGCCATCATAATGGACATTGGCTGAAGACTATTCTTGAGGCAGTTTTACGGGATTGCAACAAATCGCATCATGCGCCACTTAATACAGCTGCTAATATTCTATTAATCCCACCCAAACTTTTGATTTTCTTTTCTAAAATTGTTAGAATTTTCACTTTTATTGAGACTCATTGTAGAGAAATTTGTAATATTTTAATACGTAAATATTTATTATACATTGGGATTATCGAATTTTGTAAGTCCATTAAAACTATAAACAAATTTAGAATTAGTTAACATCAAGTTTTCGAGACATTATTAATTTGAAAGAAATTTGTCTTATCAAGAGAGTCTTTACTTTTTCTATAAAATGTAAAAGCTAAAATAAATTTCACACCACAAAAAATGAGGTCTTGCTCCAGGTCTAAGCTGCGCTTTTTTGATTTACTCTTTGTTAATCCTATGGGCTTAATCTAATAATTAATGTTATGAAAAACATGAACATGGATGCACCATCATCAAATTTTTATTATTTGGCATGGATATCAAGGCACAACACGAACCTTGAAGCAAATTTTCAGCAAGGAACATTTAAACGAACTAAAAAAAAATTCAAAACTCTGATTTCAATACACTAATAGTAAAACTAACTGGTTCAATGAGATGAACACAATGACACAAATGTTTATCCAATCCAAGCCAAATCAAGCATAAATCGTGCTATTAAGCTATTTTTTGAACCTTCTAGTGTCTGATTGGAATATCTAATGGATTTCAAATCTGACAAGCTTACGATCAATTCAAGCAGCTCGAGGATATGAATCCGACAAACTCAAAATCGCTCAATTCCCATATTGTTAAGACACTCAAATTTCCATAAAACATCATCCAATCAAAAGAATCTATTTGGGTCGTATGATGGAGTGTTTCAGATTCTTTCCTTATTTGTAAGGAACCTCTCCCAGACTTTATAAATAAGCCCCACCCCCATCATGAGAGGAGACCTAACACTTAAACCAGAGGGAGCGTGGAGCTTTGAGGAGAACGAGCTGAGGTTCATTATTCTATGCAGAAGATACAACAAACACCGCCAACTCTTGTAGCCATCGACCCCTGTCAACCAACGCTGACACGCCTATGTCGATCATCGTCGGTAGCCCCCAGCTCATCACAACAAAGCCACTTGTGGAATCACCATGAGCACTATAGAATCATTACGTGCACTGAGGAATCTCAACATATGCTACGGAACAACGAAACATCATACGAAGCATCACTCCTCAAAGATTGTATAATCATGCACATCAAAGATAATGTAATAATGCTATGAAGATCGTACAACGTGCAATTTGCATAAGATGTAACAAAAACACCCTTAACTAACTACATACAACTACCGTACTCAGGAAACAATTACTTTTATTGGATTCTTGAAGCTTTCTCCTCTCTACCCACCAGTACGACCTACATGACTAACTACAACATACGTCGTCCACAACTCAAGTATCTTCTAACTCTAGCCTCTGTAATATATGGATGTTATCATAGCTCATGCAACCCCCAACTTTGGCCTCTATGGCCTACGGGCGTTATCAGAGCTCATGTAACTCCCAACTCCGATCACTACAACATAAATATGTTAACATTGCTCCTCTCTACAACATATGTGACCAACTATAAGCTATGTGGCTAACAACTCATGCAATTCCCAACTCTAGCCTTTGTTACTTACGGACCTTGCTCTACCATCTTCAAACATTTTCACACCTTATGTAGTTCTCAACTCTGGCATTTATAGTCTACAGAAAATATAGTTCAAGTTGCTCCCAACTCTAGCCTTTGCAGCCTATAGATGTTATTACAAATCCCCACTATGACCTATGTGACCAACTACAGCTTGTGCGTCTCATAGCTCACTCAACTTCCAACTTTGGCCTTTGCAACATTATTTCAGTTCCCTTCTACAACCTTTATGGTCAATCGACACCCCTAATGAAACCTTATATGACCCACATGGCCAACTATTACCATGGATTTCAAGTACAACCTTTAAGGAAAACTAGTTCTATAGCCATCATCTATAATATTCAGGATTGGCTATTGCCTCCATAGAAACTGACAACGTCCTTCATGGCCCATTATGGCTATTATTACTGAAATATAATTGTATATAAATTTTGTAATTCCATCTCCCCTAACTCAGGAGAAAAGTGGGTCTGTGTACTCACCATTACATCGTTGACTATTTCAATTTGGCTAGGCTCTCTAGTTTTTTTACTTTTACGGATTTTCAATATTAAAACTTCTAATGTCTTTACATGTAACTTTAACTATGTGTGTGCTGGATTTTTGTGGAATGTTAAGATGCAAAATATTCACCTTATTTCCGTTAATATTTGGTCATTAAATAGTTTGGTGCCATTTGTGAGAAGCAAAGTCCCATTCGACACAATCTTCAAGTTTAAGATGTCAAGCCCCTACATCATTTCTAAATGATATACATCACCTAATAAGAGAAGGAACCTCCTTTGTACCTATTGAAGATCTTTTCTTTGCATTCTTTGATTTGGGTGGCAACCTTCACTAAAATCTCGAAAGGTGATTCATGTTAATTTTTTTGGGACAATTGTGGCAAGTGAGTTTTACTGCATCTCACTCAAATACAATGTCTATGAAAACTACTTCCATGATACGGGGGCAACCATCAGTGTAGTCTCAAAAGGTCATTCATGTTAATATCCCAAACATGACACTGGTAGGGTAGTTAACCTACATCTCTTTCAGACATTGAGTATGCAAGAACCACTCTTAGGCTAGGGGCAAATTTCATCACAAAGAGCTCTTCCTCAACGCAAAGTTTCTCCTTAGCTAGATCAAAAAGTTAGTCTCTTTAATATTTGATACATGGGCGACCTTATAAGCTTGTGTGGAAGATGCCCCAACTAGAGAAGAACAAATTCAAAAGCAAAGAATTACAAGTTGACAAACATCATTCTTGACTATGGTTGCAACCACTTTTATAAAAAAATATATGGTCATTTTGGCCTGCACCCAGTCTAAAAAAATGTAAAATAATTTCTAACACCTCATTCTAAGCTTAATTGGTCCCAGGGAGATTTGATTCTTCCTCTTCCATCACAAGCTACACACATCAAGCATAAGCTTTGACTAACAATCTCGAATAGTTCAAAAATATATGATGGATTCTCGTTGACTTCTTTTATTACAGACTATAGCTGTCAAGTGGACAGCTTTGACTAACAACCTAGAAAAGTTCAAACATTCGTAGTAGTAAAAAATGTCTCCTCTCTTAGCAAGAAAGTCTTGATGGGAAGATACAATCTCACTAAAAGTTAAGCCTAGGAAATAAATCTAGATGAGAAGGTACGTTACCCCTAGAAGAAGAGCCC